AGTACTTCGCTAATTTGAAATGAATCAAATTTATTGAAACGAAATTATACTAAATTTAATGTCCGATTAATTTACGAATAGAAAATAAATACATAGTGTGAATGCAATTTTGTGCATGAAGTTAGGGTGAACGTATTTTAATCTTAGCTAAATGGTTTCTTTATACTCGTAGAGTGAGTGTTTTAACGCGCGACGTGGTTGATGTAAATAAATGATGTAAAAATAAATCTAGAGAATATTACACAAAGCAAATTAAATAAGAAATAATTTAAAATTTTGCAGAATCTACGTAGGGTTTTTTTATTTGACGGGGGGGCGAACGGGCAGGAGGCTCACCTTATGTTAGGTAATACCACCCCCATGGACACTCATTTTTGGTTTGGGTTTGATTAAGTCGTTTTGGTTCAACGAAATACTAAAGTCAGGTAGCCTGTTTGGTATATAGTGTGATGGGCTAAGAACACACTGTTGTGGAACGATGGAATTTTTTTTTAAGTAGTTTCAACTTCAGATAAAAAAAAACAAAAGGCGGAACGGAAAAAATGGTATATATTATCTTTTTCTTGATGTAAGTTAAGTTTCTATTATATTCGATACTTCCGAACATAAACAGTAAAATAAAATAATAGCAGTCTAGTCCAGGCAATACTGAGGGAGTTCTGGAGTCCCACAACCTCCCCTTCAGATAATTTAAAGGTAATTAGTTTTAGACATATTTACCAAATTGTACTTACGTGTTGTTGCTAAAATGTATTTTTGAACCCGATCATCCTATCCGGATATACATAAATGAGCATAAGAAAGCCACACCGGGTCTCTTGTACGAAACTACAGTAGCGTTAAGCAAATTTGTGGACAACAGGGAGAGTGGCAGATGTGTTTTTATACAACGAGGAGATGGCGCCATCTTGATTATCGATCACCAGTTGATTTACGAGATGTGACTTTATCATTTCAATTTCTTTCTCCTTTTCCTAATTACCTTTATTCTGTTTAAGATACTATATCAATTACGTTTGGGACATCGTTGAGCTTGTGATAATAAATGTTGCCACTAATACAGTCTATTTCCTCCAAAATACAATGGCTATTATGTTTATCTAGGCGCTTTAGTTTCAGGCACTATGTATGTATGTATGTAATATATTTATTCATAAAAAGTTACACTTTCATTTAAAGCATGCCGTGCAAAACTGCTTACGCAGTTTGACTGCAGTTAACTCGCTTTATATATGTTGCATTACAATATAAATATTTAACATAATTAAATGTAATGGAGGGCAACTCTTATTCAACATAGCTTATAAATTATTAAATTAGGTTATGTTAATAAAATTAATTTTCGTAAATGGTTACAACGTACTAGAGCGAAGTGCAATTTTTAGTAAACTGTTAAATGTGCAAGTGTAGGCTAATCTTATGTCCTAAAGGGATAACTTTGATAAGTATGGGAGTTGTTATTTTAACGTTCTACGTCTTCATAGTAAAATTCTGTCTATGGGTATTTCAAATTACACCTTAAACCATAATTAAATATTAATATAATTTAGATATCTTGTCTTTACAAATACATCCTCACTGTAGTTTCATATCCGCTCTGGGGATCCGAATGTGTTCATAGTAGCTCGGACTCTTTAATGTTATACAGTAATAGTTCACAGAATGTACTGAAAAATATTGGTATTGGGTTTAATTAAGTCGTTAATAATATGACGTAAATCAGAAGTACCAAAGTCGGTAGCCTGGTTTCAATCAATATCATTTAGTGATATCTATAGGTAACAAAACTCATATGAATAAATCATCTTCAGTTGTGGAACGATGGACGTACGACACTAACTTCCTCCCACCTCTGACTAGACCTCGTCGGTTTCATGACGGAAGAAATAAAGTCAGAGGAGGCGGCAACGCTTGGTGATCATATCTTTATCTGTGGCGGATTTTTTAGCAGGCTTGATTAGGCTGAAGCCTAGGGCGATAAAGGGACGGCAAACTAGTTAGGGCATTTCTATGTCCGGTTTACAAATTAAGAGGAAATTATTAATGGACACACATAACCCGAATTTCAGAAAATTGAAGAAGAATTTAACATATTTAACAAAAATCGAAATATTCGGTTATACAGTGCTAATTAATAAATATTTCAACACCTGCATGCATTCCTAAAGGATATACTAATTATACATTAATGATTATAAACTTTTAGCCAATCTCGCGGGTCATCTTGATAATCGAAACTTCAGTAATGTTTAACATATATTCTTCACTGATAAGTGCAAATGTTTCTCCGGGTGTACCTAATAATGAGGAGATGGCCCATCTGATTCAACGATCACAAGTTGATTTACGAGTATGTAAATATGATTAAAATTTCTTTTTTATTAAATAATAAACTAGTTCAATATCGTTTAGAGATCATATTAATCAAATAACTGATAGTTGAACGACTGTGCCTTGACAATAAAAAAGTTCCTCCACAAAATACTGAAGTGAGACAATTTACTCATAAGAAAATTACGATACTATTATCAGTTAATTATTTTAGTTGCTGTCTAGGCAAAGTTTGGATAATCCAGATGAGTATGCCTTAAGCGCTATGTAATATATTTTTAAATAAAATGTTTACATCTAATTTGATAACTTTTCGCAATGCCAACTTTTTCAGAAAATGCCAATCGGAATAAATTAATTATAATAAGATGCAAAACAATACTCAGCTGCAATTTTTTATTTAACGGATAATTAATAAGTACTGGTCGTCATTCCTGCAAGAACAGAATCTAAGAAACATTTATCCAAACTTGATATAGCACTTAGTTATGGCTCTTAATAAAAGTAAATTGTTCAGGTGAAATGAAGTTACATGCCTTGCTTGAAGAAAGTGCTACCTAACGATCGACTTTAAGTCAAGAAAAGCTAAACGCTCATGTCTCTGTGTGCATAGAGTCAGAGCTAATGAACAAGATTTAAGTACGGAAGATATAATAAATGATTTTAGCGAATTCAAAGTCTCCAAATAGTAATTCTGTACAATTTAACTTAAATCATAATGCTAACAAATAATAAAGAAAAGATATATTTAGTTGTATTGTCTTTACAAATACATCTCACTTAAATGTGTAATGCAATCCGTTCTGTCCAAATGTATTTTCTTACGTAGCTTAATTCATTTTATGTTAGTATTGTAATAGTTTTAAGACATTACTTAAACATATTGCTAAAAGTGTATTACGATTGAATATTATTACCTAAAATAATGTTTTCGAAAGTAACTCTTGCTGTAAAAATAATCAAGTCAAACTACCATGTTTTCATTCATAACTATAGGGAAAAGTTGACGTAACGAAAATGATGTTGCACAAATTATAAAGTTGGACATTCTATTGATAGAAAGTTTCTACCTGTGGACTAAGATCTCAGAATGTTTGATGGGGAAAAATTGATATGGAGAAGAGGTCGCCACTGCTCCATATTAAGAACTTCAAGAAAAACCCTTTTATCAATATTGAAATATTTAAAGAACTCGGTATCAACAAACCAGGTTTAGATTTCATCAGAGAAGGTAATTCATAAAATATTTAACTATTATTTCGAGAAATTGCCATCATCTTCCTATATTATATACATTAAACGAGGTTCTATAGGTATCTATAGGTAACAACCTATATGAATAAATGATATTGACTTTGATACGAGGCACACTACACACTACACTAACATTCTCTCCCACCTCTGACTAGACCTCAGTCTGTTTGCTTGCTTCCCTCGTTTCGAAGCATGTTTTATATGTTGGTTTCACGTTTTTTGCTTTTTGTACATTTACAAAACATTATCACATATATTTTTATAAATATGACTCTGAGAAAGATGATGTCTATTGAATTAAAGCATGATATCATTTTCTTATTCGAAAACAACTGAGGTGGTGTTAAGGGTGCTGGAATATATTAATGGTATTTTGTTGAAAATTGCTATGAGATTATATATAGATAGGAGACAAGCAATTTAACATACGAACTAGGTTTCAGAAAGAATTAAACTTGTATGTCGAGGTACCATTTGACACCATATTGGAGGTTTGAATAAAATGTTACTACTTTAGATTTGGGAATCGTGAACCAATTGCGAAAGTCTCTGCTTGTCATCTTTTTGTCGATATAGTCGCCGACCCTCTAGCTTATATTTTATAATTTTTGCTACTTATTCGACCTTTAACATACTGGTTCTACTGCTGCCAAAATAATAAATGTTTCTGGTGGATAAAGAAGACCTTGCCTTAACAGATAAAATATCCCAATTAAACGGACGATAAGGCGTAAATTATACCCAATGCTCCATTGGACCCTTAATGTCACATTAATCAAATTATAATATAAAGTAAACTAGGTTTATTTGTTTATTACTAGATTATTTGATTTTAATAAAAAAATGTTTTTTCTCTTATGCAAGTAGCTTTTAAATAAATAAAGTATATTTAATTAATAAATCGTTTATTTGCAAAGAAAGCGGTATAAAAAATAGGCATGCAATTGTCATATGATTATGTCATAATAAAGCAAACATTTTACTAAATGTTTGATTATAATTATTAAATACAGGACATAAAAATACCTCAAGGCGTTCAAAAGCTGTAATGGGTTCACAACAACTACGTCTAAAGCTTTATCAAAACATATTTATTATAGAAATACGAAAAGCACATCATCATACTAATATTATAAACGCGAAAGTTTGTAAGGATAGATTTTTGTTACTCTTTCAAGTAAAAACTACTGAATGGATTTTAATGAAAGTTGAAAATAATATAGCTTATGCATCAGAATAACACATAGCCTACAGTTTATAAAGATATTGTGTGAATTGTCCAAAATATCAAGTAAGCAGAAAAAAATCTACCATCGGCGAGCTATTCTGGCGTGCGCTGCCAAAACTGCTAGAGTTACACGTATGTAATGTGTGATGGAAATGTTTATCTTAAATAGTTTCTAATAATTTTAAAACTACTCTGCACTTGGGAATCGGAGATCTGTATCCCGCAAGTTTTCTTCCATCCATTTATCTGTCCGTGCTATCATCTCTTCGTCGAAATAGTCGCGCCAACCGTCTGTTTTGCCTGTAAAAAGATTTACTTTATATGGTTTGTTGGGCGTATAATCCGGTGTTGAGTTCGAAGTCAGGGTTCTCAAAAATTATATATGAATCCGTATCTGCAAGCACTGTCTAAAAAGACACGCCTCAACAATGGGGAATGGAATGACGTGTCGATCGCGTGATTGGTAAATCAGTTGACGTTTGTGTCCCGTGCTGCGCAAACTTTCCCCCACTCTCTCGTTTAATGTTCAAGATGCTTGCCGGTATCTGTATGATGCCTGATGGCTATTTCTCGAAATAATAATTAAATATTTTATGAATTACCTTCTCGGATGAAATCTGAATCTGGTTTGTTGATACCGAGTTCTTTAAATATTTCAATATTGATAGAAGGGTTTTTCTTGAAGTTCTTAATATGGAGATGTTCACAAAGTGTTGCCACCTCATCTTCACTATATTTCTTCCCCATGAAATCGGATACACGGTTTATCATCGCCGGTAAATCCTGTAAACGTAAGTATTTTAAAATGCTGGTTGAGAGCGCAGCGGTGATGATAACTTGGTCGTGGTTGGTAATAGAAGGCTAAACGATCACATGGCTGCTCACCAACCAGGTGGAACTATCAAGTGAAATACTCATCGTCTTCAAAACTGTACACTGTCATAAGAGACGCGTTGAACCGAAACCAGACATGAGCTGCCGATTAAAAAGAGAGAGAGAATAAGATGAGAAAATGTCAAGGAAAGTGTCCCATGGAAATTACTGTTTTATCGCCAACTATTATTTTAAGTCGAACCCAATATGGCTTAAGACTTATCTGTAGAAGAAGGGGGTACTTTTCTCCAACCAGAGGCGGCCTTACCCATTGCGAGACACCGGGCGGCAGGTCTTAGGACGTAATATTCAATGAAATTGAAATATATGTACGGTGCTGCGCGATCTTCAGGTGTTTTGAGGAGCGATATTCAAGTACTACATAATCAATTTTTCAGTGTAATAATAAAAATAATTAAAAAGGAAATCAAAACAAATTCAAAAAGTTTGGTCCCTGTGGCAGTGTACCTTTAATCAGGCAGCATTTCCCGGCTGTATTGCGATACTTATTCGTTGAGCGAGGAAAGTACCAGCTCTGGGGTCACCAATACTATCTACTTGACACCAACTTAAATCTTTAATAAGCGCCAGTACACTTGAACCCCACGGCCCTAGAGTCTCTACTCCAAAGGAAACAAAATCGAAGTTGGAGGAAATACCCTTATTTTTGTGCCGTTTATTATTTTCTGCCTGCTTTGAGGCCTCTCCAGCTTTTTTGCTTGTCCGAAGGAGGTGAGACGGGGCAAACGTGTCCACACAAGTAGCATCCCATACTAAAGCCCTTCCCATTTTCCAAAGGATCAACGATAGGTATTCCGTCCGGCCGCTTGCCATCATTTTGCAATTATGTTTTGAGCGAATGAATTAGTTAACAAACTTTGTTTTAATTTACCGTTCTGTTATAACCTTAATAAGTAATTAAGGATCAAAATCAAAAGTTTTAAATTAAAAAAAATACATATTTTTTAAATTCACTTGGGTTGTTGGGCGAGCCCCTGCAATAGCGAGGCACCGGGCGATTGCAATGTTCGCCACCCCTAAGGCCGTCGCTGCATCCAACCGAAAGGGAGGATCCTCGACCAATCTAAGCGCTAACTGATCGGCCCAAAGGCCCCAAACCAAAAAGGCCCCAATAGTCGAGAAGTTGAATATTATATCCTGAGCGGTAGGAAAATCATTGTAAATGCGATTTAGGGTAGGTATGATGTCATCGTATTTTCTGTAGCCGCAGATTGTAGTTGTCGCTACATAACAACTCAGTCAGAAGTATTTGTATGAAACCCTTAAAACAAATGCGAGACAACATTCCACATTCCACATTTTACATCAGAATTAAGCAGACTTTGTACTTAGAAATCCATGGTAATCCTAATTAAAATGTATAAATCTATTAAAGCAGTTTTGAAGTTATACTTCTTTTGGTGCGTTAGGGAAAAATGATGAGAGTAAATTATTTCTTTTGTTAGTGTCGTTTTTTCTACAAACGTAGAATAAGGCGAAAGATCTTGTTACGCCAAAGAAGTATAACTTCTAATGCGTGTACGTACACGCTGTTATATACGCGATTTTTATATATCAGGGGGCAAACGGGCAGGAGGCTCATCTGATGTTTAGTGATAGATAGACACTCAAATTTCTAGAGGGCTAGCGAGTACATTGCCGTTTCAGAAATGGTTCTTCTTTTCATGAAGTACCCTAAGGGCCCAAAACCAGCCTTAAAAAGCGCCCAGTTAGTAAAATAAATAATGAGGTAATTTTCACACTTATTCGTCTCCTCGTGGTATCAGTAAATCTATTCGAACTCCAGTAAATAATATTCACTAAACATATTCGTAATTATAAATATAATTTTATTAAACCCGATTCGATGTCTAATATTATTATGAAGTAATGCAAAGAACTTTTAGATTGTCTTGATATTTTTTGTTTACAACATTTTTATTGTTCCATATACCTTTTTTAGTTCCTCATAGAACATGAAGAGCAAATTTGGATGATGACGTTTCTCCCACGCCTCCTTCAGATGTTCAAAGAACGGTGTCCAATACACTGAAATAAAATATTGAATAACTTTCTTCACGCTTATTAATTTATATATTAAATATCTACTAAAGACTTATAAACAGCACAATTATATTTTATATTAATTCTAGGTGGACTCCAACGTCTCCAACTCTAGTATTGTAGAATTAAAAGTGGTACACCACTTTACTAGCATAACCATAGTTACTTTAAAGCGTCATTAAAGGCGTATGTTCGGTAGACACAGTGTAAGGAGAATTTTCCTCAAAATTATTTAAGATTTCTTCCGATATACCTACATGAAAATCAAAATGGCGGAACACCCCGTTCCGTATAATGGTTTTCTAAACCAACTAACTACGTCTAATAAATTCGAATGGATAACCTCCTCATATTTTTGTTTTTTTCAAGAAGATTAAATTAGAGGTTTTCCAGGCCCCAGGGATGTTATTCACCCCTGTCCCAGGACATCGACAAAAAGTAGTTCCCACAGTTTGTACTTACGTAAATCGTTAATTAACAAGTCCCAAAATGATTTGAAGTCACCAGTCCATCCTAGGAACGTCATTGATCTGCTTAATAGGTAGAATGAGACGATGACATCTCTGGGGTCTCTTGCTACGTACACGACTTTAGCGTCAAGCAAATTTGGTGACAACAGGGAGAGCGGCAGATGTGATTTTATAAAACGAGGGGAAGGCGCCATCGCCAGTTGGTCCACGATATGCGTCGTGATCATTTTAATTTCCTTCTGCTTTTTCTCATCTCCTTTATTATATTCTAGATAATACTGTATCATTTCCGAGTGGAACATCGATGAAAATCTGCGAAATAATGTTATAACTGCCTTAATCTATATAGGTGCGCGCATCTGATTACGATATTTTTATAGGATTCACTTCTCCCACATTAATGAAAAAAAAAACAATCTTATTACATTGTAATTTTCATGCGTAGGAGCGACGAGGGCCTAGAGAAGATCATTGTGATTGGAAAGACCGGCTAAAGATCGCGTGGGCGTCAACGAGATGGGTTGATCAAATAAAAGACTCGTCCTCAAAATTATAAATTGTTGGAAAATAAGCGCAGGACTGGAAATTATTCACGCCAGCCTTGCGATTGCGTAACTTTACTTTTCAAGCTCTCACAGCGGATTCCGCTCTCAAACCACTCGTGAATGTATCATGTTACAATTTGGCATTATGATAAACAATAACCCCGACAAAAGCGCCGCTTAAGTGAGATTGTGTACATTTGGAACTTAAATTCGACACTCAAAACACTTACGCTCAAAAAGTGTAGACATTTGGCATTCCAAAATGCCATTTGACATCTCATATGATTTAAAATCAGTAGTAAAGTCTATTTTTTACGTCAAATTAAAAGTTGCTTTATCCTAGGTGAATTCGTCATTTACCAGGGAGTCAGACATTTTTAGGTTAGGATAGTTTTAATGAAAATATTCTAACATAGGACAATGTATTTTGGGATAAGTTTATACAGCTGACGACTATACACAGGCATGAGTTACCGACCCAGGTAGAGAGAAGCCAGCCAAAATTAGTAAATTCAGCTGAAAGTGCGAAGTTGCCGTGTGTTGTTTTACGTTCCGTGTGCAGGTTAAATCTTGCTTAAACTTCAGTAGTTTTCAGAACGTCACTTACTATTTTAACATTAAGCCTGTGTTGATTAATTAGTTGTCAATAAATGTAATGAGATAATTCAGTGGCTTTATTGTTAATGTACGCCTGAAAGATACACAATAAAATAGATGCAAACCTGTTGTACCCGATTCGGGACATAAAACCTTTTTTTTTTACTTCCAGTAAAAATTGTTACTCAAAAGAACACTTACTCCAAAAATGGAAATCTTTGCCATAGTAAAATTGATTTTGCAGTGTCGTAGTCCAAGTTGTTTGCGACGAGCCAAACCAACTCTTGTGTCCAGGTGGTCCCTTAGAATATTAATTATTTCTTGTCAGTATTATTATTATTAGGTAATAAACGTTTTTGTGGATTTGGAGAAATTATCCAATCTACTTTTAAAAGAGTTCTAAGAGGGAGCACTCCTCGGTTTAGGGAGAAATTTCTTTAGGGAATTTGTATTATATTGAGTGGTGTTCAGTATTAAAGAACTACCCCACAAATATGTATAGTTGTATGTATGGTTTATTAAAATTGATTTTTACAGATAAATCTAACATAAATCTTGTTTCAGGTTTTCAAATCAATTTGACAATGCTCCAGTGATTGTAAATTAAGCATGTATGTTAGAAAACGGGAGCTTAAATTCAGTAAATCATTATGTACCTGATCGTGCGTATGTATTGACAAAAACATCACTCGGTCGAATTTCCATGTTATATATGTCTGCTGCTACTTCCAAAAATCGGTGTGCAAGGACATATCCTTTTGGTCCTATGCGTATAAAACCTGTCTTTTCACCTTAAACAAATATCTTTTATTACTTCAGTGGGTAAATTTCGGCGTCTCTATAGGTTCTATTTGTTTTGATTAGATTATTACTATACTAAGTTTTTTAAAAGGCATGTGTGTGGTTGTGACTTTTGTGTCTGAAGCCACCGAAATCTTACAAAAGTTTTTTCAATACGTAGTATTATTCATAATAATAATAAAAACATATTTATTTATATACCGCAAAATTTAATTTTTTGCCCAGGTTCAAGAAAACAAATTGGTGAGTCGATAATCTGTATGGAATTTAACAAGTACTATAATTTTCCGCGCATTTGAGAAAAAAGTTTGAATGTGAGACTGACATGTAAAAGAAAATGCATTTTTTATTTATTTAATAACTGAAACAGTTTATGTAGTTTACAAACTACTTGCTGTATATTTGCACATTGTATTATTTAAACATATCCTACAGCATTACTCGATACTAGAACAGCGCACAAAATAATAACGCACTATTTAAATTTAAACATAACTATAACATAGTGAAATACAATAAAAAAATCTAGGCCTTATAGATTTTTATATATATTTTCCGGCATTAAACATTAAAATGTAAAATTTTGTTTTGGTTATGTTAATTGTGTTTTTCCATAATAATTTTAAATCCACGATCGCTGCATTGTACAACTATGGGCATGAACGAGCACCTAATTTAAGTCTATCAGTGAGATATTCTGTAACGGCATAATAACATTTCTTATATAACAATTCCTTTAACAATTTGGTAAATCTCAAGTTATTTGTATCATTCTTCAAATTTTCCGGTAATTTATTATACATTGCTTATCTTGCCGAAGCCAATTATTTGAAGAAGTTTATTAAGTATGAGGGTGTGCAATTATTTAATCAATTACCGTCTAAAATTCGTAATATAAGCGCGTTTAACCAATTCAAAAGGGCATTAAAGATACTGAAAGGCTGCTGGTGACGTGTATCTCGTTCGTATATACATATTAAGTTTCTCATTTAAATAAAATACATTCTTTTTTGTAATGAGAAATAAAGTTCGTTAAACATTATATCCTGTGTCCGGTCCTGATTGATGTAATTTTATTTGACATTAGCCAATGTAAGTTCTATGTAAAACGTCCAGCCTTAAATTGTTCAGGTAAAACGAAAGCCTTTATTTGGACCTTTGAAATGAACATTACGACGTAACATTAAATCTGCATTCTGCAAATAAGTAGAGTTTGAGAATTTTACGGTACGCATATCTAAGATTTACGTGGAAAATTGATTGCATGAAATTCGATGCAAATGTACCGTAAGAAATACATAGAAATTGGAAAATTTGAAGATTAGAATAAAATAATACAGTCACATTCCTAATACTTCATTTTTATTTACTGACATTAATTGACATGACAAGGTATTGTTACGAGCTAGAGGATCGGATAGAACACGCCGTAGATTTCTTCAAGGGTTTCAATTAAATCAATGAGCAATTTGTTTACACTAAAAACCGGAAATTACGCACAGAAATTCACTATTTACACATACACAAAATACTATTACTAATTACTTTAATTAAGTAACATTCTGTAAATTACGATTTTCTAATATGTGATTGACCCCTGAAACGGTCAGAAATCACATTTCAGCCTGCTGAAAAGTTCTCTAAGTAGTGGAATAATCTAGAAACATTGCAGTCGACCCGTCTTCGTAACAATATTAAATACCATTTCTGATTATTTATTAGAACTACACTAATTGTTATTTTAAATTCTTTTAAGTTTGGAGTTAGAAATTCAAATTTAAAATTTAAAATTTCAAGATTCTAGATGGCGTCGCACCAATCCATACGACCTACTTTTCCGTATTCTCGAAACTCTTCTGTGATTTTTCAAGAGGAGGTCGCACTCGTTAATAGATTTTTACATATGTAACTTTTTTTTATTTAAAAAGTAAAATAATTCTCTTGTCTTTATTGCAAAACCGTCAACAGTTAATTAAAGAATTGCCAGATTTCATTTCACTGGTATTAATTTACATTTTACACGATTATAAGCATATAGACTACGTCAAAGATTAAATTAGGGTTTAAGAATAACTTTATTTCTGATAAGAATTGCATACAGAATTCACTTACTGAGAAACAAATTTAATTTTATTTAATAAACTGACGTAGTTCACATTAGGACATTACTTAAGTTTCCGTTTTTTTTGGAAAGTAGAAGTTTATTTTTATGATGTTATATGGAAGTGGTCATATTATTGTTTATCCTTTCTTCTAGCACAGAGACATAACGTTTCAGGCCAGAATGGCCCCATTGCATCAGCGACCATTTAAATTAAGGTTTAAAGTTATTTTGTATAAAGTTAATATCTAGGTTAACTTACCAGAAAATGCTTTCAGTTTTTCTGCTTCATGAGGCTTTAAATTTCGAATTTCAAAAGGGTATGGTTTTGCCATTTTTAAATAAATACTAAAACAACAGTGTTTTAAGAGACGTTTGAAAAAACTGTCAGTGAGTAACTGTATCGTGACATGGGTTTAATGTGCATTATATAGCATGCCTACAATATTTTGCATGGTTTGTGCATCCAAGATATAAAAGATTGTTGGTATGTTTGTTTGTAATGAATAAACTCAAAACCTAATATACAGTTATTAAGCTTTATTCTAAATATATGTATTTTTCCTTCTCTCGACCCTTATCAGGACCTACAGACCTTATCAGGACAGCCTCCCACCTAGTGAGAGGATGCCCTCTACAATCCAAGTTTCAAGGTCATCGCCATTTTCGCTACCTCCCTTTTCGAAGACTCCTAAACCTCGGCCAGCATAGATACTTTATTTATTTACTTTTAGCAATACATGCCAAATAATAATTAAAATCTAACAAACCAAACTATGAACTAACAATTCCTTCTACTTAAAGAAGAATAACTACTTATCTCTCTCAGTCTTCCCAAATCTATCACAAAGATATTCAGTTCTGGATACTAAGGAAACGGTTAAGCAGTGAGAATAAAAGAAAAATCGGTGACTCCTGGCGAGTTCGTGAGCTCTATTCAGACTGTGGAGCATGCTTCCGGAATCTAAGGTACTTTTCTGGCACATACAGTATAAGCAATTTCGGAAGCAGGCCCTTTAGTCTGTTCAACCTCTCAAAATTTTAAGTGCAAAGTAGATTGCACTCCGCAGTTCAAGTGATTCATACCCCAACATGCCCAGCAAAAACGCAGATTGGTACAAGAAGGGGTATTTATAATATTTACTCCCTTTAAGTAATTAAATATTATGACACTATCTGGTCAATATATTCTTGAAGCCTTGTTGTATGTACAAAAAAATATAAACGATTTTAAAACGAATGGTGTGTTCGAAATACATAATTTTAATTTTATAATATTTGATGAGGGTGATCCCAAATATTTTTATTCGGCCGATCCTCACATTTTTTGATTAGTCATTGTTGAGATTTACTCGGGTTACGTTAGATGCATTTTTATATATACTTTTTGTTAATTATATTTGTCAATAGTTACGTCCTCTATTTAGAATTTTATAGTGAGTGTTTAGTGCGTTTTTCGAGAACTATTGTGAGGCAAGGTATCAATCTCTTTGTTCCTAAACTAATAGAATATCTCCAAATCCTTAGGGCTGACAATATTGTGTGCCTCACTCCCTAACTAATAACTCGTTAACTCGTCGCTCTTAACAGGAGACATTATAACGAGTTATGTGCTCAAGACTTATTATTTTAGTATTTTAGTATGGTTATCACCCCCAACCAATTTCAGGCGCCGGAAACAGTTATTTAAATAAATAAAATAAATAAAAAAAACAAAAAAACCCAAAAAAATATATTAGGTACCTAACCAAACCTAACCTTTTTTTTTTACTTGGGGAAATGCATTGCGCATACGTTATGTGGGACTCGCGAATGTGCATACCCACAAAAACCCCAAGGCGCCACCAACAATCGCCATAGGCGGGATGCGGTAACAGCAGAGCCTTATCCGCTTCCCGAGCCAACCAAACCTAGCCTACCGTAACCCTTTTTTTGTATCGTCCTCAAAGTCATCCACTAAAGCCGGTCGTCTACCAAGCATAGAACTCGTAGACGGCTCAGGTTCTGAATCACGTCCACATCCACTATTTCCAGACGCCATCACAAGAAATCAGTGTCTAGTATGTATGCCAAAGTCGTACAGAAAAGCTAATGAATCCGAGTCCAAAATATAGCCAAGTTTCAAAAAATGCATATGAAATAACGCACATTCACGTAAAAATAAAAAAACGTAAAAAGTAACGGATTACTAACGGATATGTCACCGTAAAATTGTAAACACCGTTAGATTGTAACCTATCTCGCGAGATTATGAACTGTCGAAAGATTGTGAACTCAACGTACTGCTTACAATTTAACGTATTATTTTTTGGTAGATTGTAATCTATCGAAGTGAAACCGTCAAATTGTTAACTGTCCGAAGGCTGTCCCTGATTGGTCGGCTTTATAGTTCAGTTAGTTAAGACCGTTCTATGTCCATAGAGTTAGGAATGAAACACGGGTATCAGTCAAATAAACTGAATGCACTTCAAGATTTGTGATATCCAGTATTTATTCATTACTTAGTAGGTAATCAATAATTCTGAGATCACATGGTAAAAAAAAAATTCAAAATAAAAAATCAGAAACCTAACAATATTTTCTCCTCAAACATAAAGTAAAATTGAAAAAGTATTGAAATTTTCTTTCATTTCATATCCAACACTTACTTAGTTATTATTCAAACTTCTTTGGTCAATCACAGATTAATTTTACTTCCCAACAATTACATATAACTAATTCTAAAGCTGTGAGTTACTTTCAACACGACATCAATTTACATTCATCAAAACAATCAATTTACATTCGACAACAAACGAATTAACAAACAAATATGGTGGCGCGGGACATATTCCGTTCAACCAATCAGCGCGCGAGGTGCGATCCGTTTCACAAATTGACGGTTTCACTTCGATAGATTACAATCTACCGAATAATAATACGTTAAATTGTAAGCGGTACGTTGATTTCACAATCTTTCGACAGTTCATAATCTCGCGAGATAGATTACAATTTAACGGTGACATATGTCAGAGATACGACTCACACTGTTCTGGCAAAATCCACATTCGAAATGGCCGTTTGCGTTTATATCTTATTTAATAGGGATTTCACCTATAATCTATCAACACGAAATTAGTTTTATTACAATGTTGATTATTCTATATGTTTAAAATTAAAAAATGAGGAAATAATCGATAAATAACAAAATCGAATATTGTTTATTCATATTTATTGTAAAAAACAATCGATTAATTTACCGAGAATGTCACATCTCTTCTTATAACAGGTATATAAAAGGTGGGAGCTTGTAGTTTATCAGAATGCCAAATCATAAAATGACTGCTTCACGACTGATTTGAGAGCGACCGCCGATGCGAAAACCGCTGTGTGAGTTCGAAAAGTGAGTTACAGAATCGCAAGGCTGAGGTTATAGGTCGGAATCCCGGACGCCAAAGGACTTTCTGTCACACTTACTCATACGGTGAAATAAAACACCTTAAGAAAACCGGTATACTTAGACGCAAAAAGTCTACTTGCCTATTAGAAATGCAAATAATTACGAAATAGATATAAATCTGTTGTATCAGCATTGGTTTAATTTAATGTACTTTACAATAGCAACAATAACAACATAATTTCCCGTTCTTAGTACTACTGCAAATGCGGAAAACGAAGATCAGTGTCTCGAAGATTTTCTTCCATCCACTTGGCCGCCTGTGCTGTCATCTCCTCGTCAAAGTAGTCGCGCCAACCGCCTGACTTGCCTGTTTAATAAGAAACAATTGTAATGTGTCAACCGATGCCCATATAAATTGAATAAAAAAAAAATTAGGTATTTTTCATTTCATTTGTCTAATACAATCAATGTCGCAGCCAACTAGCTTAAGTAGCTGTTTAACTAACTGCCTAGTCTCTTTACTGAACAGCGCCGTTCAACGGCAATTATCTGTGAACGAGCGTCTAAGAAATTATTACTATTAGTCACACAACGCCTGTTGTAACATCGATGCGACAATTTTGTTTTTAAAGTGCAGGTAAAAAAAAATTGTACATATTATTAGTAACTAATATTTTTATTTTTTATAGCTTATTTTTAAATTATATATTTCATAACACGATGTGCATAACTAACCTACTTTAAATTTCCTCACTAGTTGAATGTAATTCTTTGAGAAATAAAGTATCTTTGAACCGAAACTCGGCTTTATTATTAAAATCAATATATATACTAAACAAGTCCACCATAACAAGCGAGAGACTATCCACTGCTATCTCTTAAGTGTTAACAAATTAAGTTTACCTTTTCTTATAAACCCTTCTTTGGGAAACATCAACCCGAGTTCCTTCCAAATTTCATTGTTCACAGATGCATTGTACTTGAAGTTCTTAATATCGAGATGGTCACAGAGCACTGCTATTTGGTCGTCCGTGTATTGTTTACCCAAAAACTTGCAAACTTTTCGCACTTCGTGGCTGAGATCCTGGTTAAATAGTGTAAGAGGTAAAGTCATAATAATTGTAAAAACAACTTTTGGTAAGAACAAAATTAATCACGATAATAGAATAGAAATGGGGTCAGGGATAATTTCGTCATACATTTTTGTGTAAGTATTCGTAGTGTTGTAAAGGGATTTTTTCTTGTGTTTTTAACATTAATGCTCCTATTGGAAGTACTGTGATGATCTTATTGAAAAAAGAACTAACCAAACCTTTTTTCAATTCAAACCAGTAGTTCCAAGTTCCAAACTGAGTCTTTATTTAATAATAGTGATTTGCTTTGCAAACATACCTTCTTTAAGTCTTCATAGAACAAAAACAACAAGTTTGGATGATGCCGCTTCTCCCATGCTTCTTTTAGATGTTCGAAGAATGGCGTCCAGTAATCTAAAATAATACACTCAATATATATTTGATAACAATATTCTTACAGTATTTACAATATTCTTAACCAACATAGTAATAATAATAATCAAAAATTGACAAAAGAACAAAAGCTGGCGCAGCCGCAGAGCAGGTGGAAAATAATAAACGGCTTAAATATTTCCTCAACTTTGATTTAATTCCCTTTGGAGTAGAGACTCTTTGGCCGCGGGGTTCAAGTGCACAGGCGCTAAATAAAGATTTAGGCGGGCGCCTGGTAATTAGTACCCTTGACCCCAGAGCTGGTGCTTTCCTTGCTCACATCGTGATTCAGCGAGAAAATGCCTGCCAGCATTATAGGTACACTTACTAAATTTATTTTTATTTTGTATTTATCAATTCTTAGTTATTACTATAATATAATTTAAGTAATGTTAAGAGATCTTTTTACGGAATTGTGGCAACTTATACATCCTGGTTTAGATTCCCAGTA